AATGAAAAACATTTACGCATGTAGGAACGTTTAATTGAAAAAACGCCTGTGTACAACACCGAAATTCCACCAATCACTCAGAAATTCAGAGACGCCCAATTAGTGATCAAAGAAACTAATTTCCGCAGACCAAGTGCCTCAAAACAGCACTGATGCCGTTTCAAATACAAAAACAAAAAACGGCAGTTTCACCATCTCCAAATCTTAGAAGAATCCCCTGAAAACAGTAAACCCTGCCATCACAAGTCCCCCCTGTTATACTACACAAAGCACAGAGAGTGAACACTGAAAAAAAGCTGCCCTTCCACTATATTTGCCAACCTATTTTTTTTAAAAATAATAGCTTTTTATCCTTTTACTATGTACGAATTAATTGCCTACCCTTTTTATTACTCTTGTCATACCCCTACTACTACTATACACACCCCTAGTGAAAATCGAAAAGGTACCTCACTAGTTTTACACCTCACTCTGGCCTTTATTACCCCCTGTGTCAAAGTATTTTTGTAATGGTTTTTAAAGCTTGGGAGCGAAAAGTTTCCACAAAATTACATTGTTGCACTTGTGTCCTTTTACTTTACAGAAATCCATGGCCTCAAACGGGGCCATGATTAAAAAAAGAAGGGAAATAACCCCGGGAAAAGGGCTTGACCCCCAAATCCTAATGGGGGAGATTCCCCTTTAAACATTAAAAACGTCGACACTCTCCCCCCCTCCCATCCCATCAATCATCACCAGATCTTCATTAAAGGTAAGTATCAATTATTCTATTGTGATTATTCTATTGTTATTATTGTTATTGTAATTATTATATTACATTAAACTTAATATATCATGTGGTAAAAGTTTTTTTTTCATACTTTTGGGTGTCTTGCACGGATTAATTTGATTTCCATTATTTCTTATGGGGAATATTGATTCGCTTTCCGATAAATTTGGCTTACGATGAGCTCTCAGGAACAGATTAATATCATGAACCGGTGGTCCACTGTATTTGCTGTTTGGCATGACATCTGAACAGTTACATCTGCACACCTCTCTTAAGACAGTGATTGTGTGTGAATGATGTTGAAAGTGTTTTCTTTTTCTGGTCACCCTGCCTCAGTGGAAGATGGCCAGCGAGTTAAAAAAATAAATAAATAAAGATTGCATATGGAATTTTGAAATTAATGGCTTGATCCTGGGTGAAATAAAAATTCTTTTTTTAATTTAGTGTATTATTTCTTTCACCAAACAGAGCAAAATTTAAAGAATATTTTGGTGTTTAAATTTTTCTAATCCAAGTCATTGGAAATTACAAATTTCACACCAAAAATATTAGCATATTTTTACATATTGGTGTTTTGTGGATAATTCTTTTATTATTTCTTAACCGTTTCACTATCGGTCCCATAATATTATGGCTTGCAAGCCAGTGTCAGTCCCATAATACTATGCTAAAATTTTAACAGCTTCCTATCTTGGGGGAGATAGCTGGTCAGCCTACATATAAGAAAATGGGTCTTAGTGGCCAGTGTGCACAGTATAAAAAAAATCCTGCAGCACGAGTGCATAATGAGAAAAAACTACAACTGTGTTCTTGGTTTAACCCTTTCAGGGTCCATGCCATAGTTCTATGACTGTGTTCTGGGTCCAAACCGCATTTCTACGCCATGAGCTCAGCTCTCTTGTAAGCTGTGAGTGGTAAATTTGGGCCTAGATATGAGAGAATACATCTATGCAGTAAGTGTGCACCACATAAAACATATCCTGCAGCACACAGTGCATGAGAGAAAAAAACGAGACCGTAATTTTGGATTAAAACAGCAACTTTGCGGTGCTAATTTATAGAGTCCATAATACACAATGTAAACATTTTTGGCACTAAAACTTTTTCTCTGTTCACTAGCCACGTCTCCAGCCATCTCCTATATTACACTTCTGAATTCTTATTCACACAAAAATAGAAGATTTACTCTATTTCTTGGATAATAAAATATAACCAGGAAAGATTGTTCATGGTTTACAGCATCCCCAATAATTGAATCAGACCTAAAAAAAAAACCATAAAACAGACTGGGGGTTGTAGCGATGCCTTATCTGCCCTCAGGAATATTGACAAAAATCAAATATTTCTGCTACTTTGAGCAATCAAAATATTCTCTTTCAGAACTAAGAAACAACCAATAAAACCATCCAAAAAACACCAAAGACGCTTTTTGAAATCATACACGAGGTCACAGTTTTGTTTTTCCCCATCATGCACTGTATGAGGCAGGATTTTTTTATACAGTGCACACTCACCACATAGACCCTCTTCCATAGATAGGCCTGCCAGCCCTCTCACACTAAATGTGAAGCTGCTAGAATTTACACCTAACATTATGAAACGGACCCCGAGCTCAAAGCCATGATATTAATGCATGGACACGGAAAGGGTCAAATCACATTGTCATTCTTATAGGTTGGGGATTTCAAACTTTATTTGCATCAAAGGAAGCTCGGAAGCCACTGGCCTAAATTAACAGAGGACTTGCCAGGTTGTGTGGCTACAGTAACAGCATTTTTCTCTCTGCATATCCTGTAGCCACTAGTTGATGTGCACCCAAGTTGACCTTCCAGAGCAGAGACAGCAAAGAAAAGGGTAATACTGTATGGTCACTATTTCTTCACACATGTGAGATGGCAGGGACTGAGTTAAATATCCTCAATGACTGTACAAAAGGGGCAAACACAAACTAACACAAGGATGGGAAAATTAGCATGTAAATATGTTAAGGAGTAAATGTCCTCAATGACTATGAAAGGGGTAAACACGAAAAATTCCTCAAGGATGGAAAAATTAGTGTAAAAGCAATGTATTAAGAAAGAGAATGGTGAGAAGTGGACTGCATCAGGAAGTGAAGCTCAGTGAGGCAGACTGAATAATTCTGTCACGTATTGTATTAATTTCTGTAATTTTATTTATTTTTAATGAAATAACTATTGAATTAAAAACTTTTCAATTATTTTTGCAAGAATTTACATATACTGTAAATCTTTTCTTTCTTTCAACACACCGACCATATCCCACCAAGGCAGGGTGGCCCAAAAAGAAAAACGAAAGTTTCTCTTTTAAATTTAGTAATTTATACGGGAGAAGGGGTTACTAGCCCCTTGCTCCCTGCATTTTAGTCGCCTCTTACAACACGCATGGCTTACGGAGGAAGAATTCTGTTCCACGTCCCCATGGAGATAAGAGGAAATAAACAAGAACTAGAAAGAAAATAGAAGAATACCCAGAGGGGTGTGTGTATATATATACTTGTACATGTATGTGTAGTGTGACCTAAGTGCAAGTAGAATTAGCAAGACGTACCTGAAATCTTGCATGTTTATGAGACAGACAAAAGACACCAGCAGTCCTACCATCATGTAAAACAATTACAGGTTTTCGTTGTACACTCACTTGGCAGGACGGTAGTACCTCCCTGGGCGGTTCCTGTTTACCAACCTACTACCTAGGATACAGTAAATATTTCCTTAAACAAAAAATACCAGTGTTGAAATACGCAGGAAGACTGTGAATTACGCAAGTTCAGGCAGTGCTTTATGATATTTCATATAAAACTTCTTAACCATTTCGGAGTTTCGGCCATACTAGTACGCCTTACGCACCAGGGTTTTTGACGTACTAGTACGCATTAATTCTAGCGCCCTCAAATCTAGCAAGAGAAAGCTGGTAGGCCTACATATGAAAGAATGGGTTTGTGTGGTCAGTGTGCGCAGTATAAAAAAAATCCTGTAGCACACAGTGCATAATGAGAAAAGAAAAAACTTTGACCGTGTTTTTGGATTAAAACAGCGACTCTGCACTGTATTTTCGTATGGTATTTATTGTTGTATTCTAGTTTTCCTGATCTCATTGTATAGAATGGAAGACATATTACAGAAATTGAAGTGATTTTGACTGGGGTCTCACTGTATAGAATGGAAGACATATTACAGAAATTGAGGTGATTTTGACTGGTTTTACAATGAAAAGTACCTTGAAATTGAGCTCAAAGTAGCAGAAATGTTCAATTTTTACCAAAGTTCAAAAGTAAACAAATCATGCTAAGCGTCCAATACACGTCAATTGGCGAGTCTAATATTCTTTCACAAGTGCGCCGATATTATTTATACCATTTCTACACTAATGCAGTAGTCTGCATAACACTAAATCTTCTATTTTTTGAGAGAAAAAAATCAAAGTGGAAAGCAAAAGAAATGTAAGAGGGGCCTGGGGATGTGACTAATGAACAGAGGAAATGTTATTTTAGTGCCAGGAATGTCTTTCCTGTTTATTTTGGACCCTATTTGGAAATTGGCATCTTTTGAAATTTGTATGAAATTTGCAAAATTGCTAAATTCTGACCACTATATTGGATAGTTTGAAATCGGTAAATGGGTGGTTTCTTGTACTCATTTGATAGAAAAAAAACGGAGTTCTAGCGAAATAGTTATGATTTTTTTGTCGACTAGTACACTGGAATTGGCCGAAAATAGGGCTCAAAGTGGGCAAAATCGCCGATGAGTAAACATCGTCAAGACTGATAACTTCGAGAGAGCATAATTCCTTAAGTTTTCCATCAAATTTCATACTTTTGGTGTCATTATGATCGGGAAAAGATTCTCTATCTTTTAATAAGAAAAAAAAAATTTTTTTTTTAAATTTTGGCGACCCTGAGAACAAGTCTCCAAGAGGGCCTGGCGACCCCCAAAGGGTTAAATATTTTAGTTTTCAGCTTCTAGATGGCTGTTCTAAATTTTTGAAACTTTTTATTTACAGAGATCCTACAGATTCACCCATATAAATTATAGTTATAGTTATTTATTTCTTGTGTGGTTGGTGTTCATGGGTTGTTGCAGCTTGAGAAAGTGTCTGTTCTACATTTTTAATATTTCATTACTTAAGAGAGATCAAGTGTGGTCAATATTTCCCACTACAAAATACAAAGAAAAATATGAAGAACAAAAAAAAAAAAAATAAAGGAACTTACCTTGTTAAGGACAGCATTTAAGATATTCAATGCAAGCTTTGATTCTGTGCTCCCCATCTGAGTAAGCTGATTGACAGCTCCAACAATATCTGTAGAGGGGGGACCAACTCCCAACAAGCTTGCACCAGACCCCCTAGGAGTAGGTAAGAATCCACCTTGATTTCCCCCAGCAGCAGCAGGAGGAGCCATGCCACTCTCCCAAGGGCTAACCACTTGCCCGCTGAAAAATGTCTCCATACATGCACATTATGCTTTAAACATCAAAGTAATATGAATACAGAGGAGTGTAAAATGGCACAGTAAGTATGCAAAGAAAAATGCATGCACGACTGTGTAAGAGATATATTTTCAGAAGGGAATAGGTAAAGGGGATAGAGAGAATAGAACATGGAAGAAAGGAGGGTGGAAGAGAGAATGACAGAAGAAAAGGGAACAGTAGAGGGATAGGATGGTATAAAACAAAGTAAATGCATGACAAACATTCACATACCAAAATTTACAAAAAACTAATCACACTAAAGACCACATATCAAGAAGTAAACATCGTCACATGAATTTACAGTATCATGTATTGATCAAAAAAATATTAATTCATAATAATAAAGACTTGCTAAACTTTACAGGAATGACCACAGGGTGTACTCAACAGTAATTGTTGAAAAAAAAATTACTTAAGCAAATGAGGCTGCAGCCATGAGCAAACAGTTAATCCTAAACTGTGGCATACTCCAAATAAGAATTTATGCGTGGGGGAAGATTTTGAAAAATAATTTTCTTATAGAATAAAAGGGCATATTTTTCTAAACTGAATAAGAATAAAATGAGTAGAATCTGATAAAAATGCATAATTATACAGTTTATTCAAGTTTGTGAGAAAATGATGACTCATCAGCAATAGCAGCATAAATGCATCAGTGATATTAACATTTTACAATTTATTGACACCAATGTATGATTTTTTTCTGCACTTTTAATTTCTTTTAATGTTTAACCCTTTGACTGTTTTCGTCATACATATACGTCTTACGAGCCACCGTTTTTGACGTATATATACTCAAATTCTAGTGGCTTCAAATCAAGCAGGAGAAAGCTGGTAGGCCCACATGTGAGAGAATGAGTCTGTGTGGTCAGTGTGCACCATATAAAAAATCCTGGAGCACGCAGTGCATAATGAGAAAAAAAACTGACTTTTTTAATTAAAATGCCGACTCTGTGGTCTATTTTCGTAAAGTATTTATGGATGTATTCCCGTTTTCTTGGTCTCATTTGATAGAATGGAAAACATATTATAGAAATAGAGGTGATTTTGATTAGTTTTACCATGAAAAGAACCTTGAAATGGAACTCAAAGTAGGGGAAATGTTTGATTTTTGCCAATGTTCAAAAGTAAACAGATGATGTCATTGTCCAATAAATGTCCAAGTAGCCATTCAAATATGCAGTCATGAATGGGTTGACATTATTTATACAATTATTACAATATTGCAGTAGTCTGCATAACAGTAAATCTTCTATTTTTTGTTTGAATAAAAATTCAAAATAGTAAGCAAGAGTAATATCAGAGGGGCCTGGAGACGTGACTAATTAAAAAAGAAAATGTTATTTTAGAGCCAGGAATGTCTGCATTGTTCATTCTGGACCCTATTTTGAAATTGTCACATTTTTTAATTTTCGTGAAATTGGCCAAATTGCAAATTTCTGACCATGTTATTGGGTAGTTGAAATTGGTAAATGGGCAGTTTCTTGTACTCAATCGATAGAAAAAATGGAGTTCTAAAGAAATAGCTATGAGTTTGGTCGACTGGAACAATGATCTGCCAAAAATAGGGCTCAAAGTGGGCAAAATTGCCGATTTGTAAATATCGTCGAGGTCGCTAACTTCGTGAGAGCGTAATTCCTTCAGTTTTCCATAAAATTTCGTTCTTTTGGCGTCATTACAATCGGGAAGAGATTCTCTACCATTTCATAATTTTTTTTTTAAATTTTGCTACACCAAGAGACACCTCAGCATTTGGGGTTGTGACAGTCAAGGGGTTAACAGTATACATTGGTTTCTTATATCTTAAGATTTAAAAATAATTTAGCACTTCAAATAAGGAAAAATGTTCAGCCCAACAGTGCCCCACTTGGTATATGCATTATATATACTGCACAATTCTTTTTTTCATTTTTTTTTTTTTTTTACTATTTTAGTCTTCTAATACCATGTACAATGAATACTTAGAATATTACAATTGTTTCATAGTGTAATACCCTCTCTTTGCTGATGACACTGTGCTCTTGGGAGATTCTGAAGAGAAGTTGCAGAGATTGGTGGATGAATTTGGTAGGGTGTGCAAAAGAAGAAAATTAAAGGTGAATACAGGAAAGAGTAAGGTTATGAGGATAACAAAAAGATTAGGTGATGAAAGATTGAATATCAGATTGGAGGGAGAGAGTATGGAGGAGGTGAACGTATTCAGATATTTGGGAGTGGACGTGTCAGCGGATGGGTCTATGAAAGATGAGGTGAATCATAGAATTGATGAGGGAAAAAGAGTGAGTGGTGCACTTAGGAGTCTGTGGAGACAAAGAACTTTGTCCTTGGAGGCAAAGAGGGGAATGTATGAGAGTATAGTTTTACCAACGCTCTTATATGGGTGTGAAGCGTGGGTGATGAATGTTGCAGCGAGGAGAAGGCTGGAGGCAGTGGAGATGTCATGTCTGAGGGCAATGTGTGGTGTGAATATAATGCAGAGAATTCGTAGTTTGGAAGTTAGGAGGAGCTGCGGGATTACCAAAACTGTTGTCCAGAGGGCTGAGGAAGGGTTGTTGAGGTGGTTCGGACATGTAGAGAGAATGGAGCGAAACAGAATGACTTCAAGAGTGTATCAGTCTGTAGTGGAAGGAAGGCGGGGTAGGGGTCGGCCTAGGAAAGGTTGGAGGGAGGGGGTAAAGGAGGTTTTGTGTGCGAGGGGCTTGGACTTCCAGCAGGCATGCATGAGCGTGTTTGATAGGAGTGAATGGAGACAAATGGTTTTTAATACTTGACGTGCTGTTGGAGTGTGAGCAAAGTAACATTTATGAAGGGATTCAGGGAAACCGGCAGGCCGGACTTGAGTCCTGGAGATGGGAAGTACAGTGCCTGCACTCTGAAGGAGGGGTGTTAATGTTGCAGTTTAAAAACTGTAGTGTAAAGCACCCTTCTGGCAAGACAGTGATGGAGTGAATGATGGTGAAAGTTTTTCTTTTTCGGGCCACCCTGCCTTGGTGGGAATCGGCCAGTGTGATAATAAAAATAAAATAAATATACTAAAGTGTGCTTTATGGCTGAATTCCAATATTAATATGAAATTGTAATAAATTTGGAATGAATAGGTCATCTTTGTGCCACATGCACACCCTGTCTGTTGGTAGAGAAGCTGGTGGTGGAACAGAAGCTTCTGGTTCATTGTTTACTTTTGCTAGTTAAGAAAGGGTTGAGGAGAGGGAGGGTAGAGGAGAGAGGGTAGAACATGAGGGGCAGAAAGTGCAGTAGTAGTAGAGAGGGTAGTGTGTGGGGAGGCAGAGGAGAGGGTAAAGGAGACAGGAATAGAAAAGAAAGGAGAGAGTAAAGATGGTTGAGAATGTAAAGGGACAGAGAGAGGGTAGAGGAAAGAGGAAGAGAGGAGGAAAAGGAAGAAAGAGGGAAAGAGGAGGAAAGGAAGAGAGGAAAAGGAGAGGAGAGAAAAGCAGAAGTGAGAAGGAAAGAGTAAAGGAAAAGAAGGGAAAAGAGGAAAGAGAAAGTGGAGAGAGAAAAAAAAAAGAAAACGAGAAAGAGTGAAGACAGAAACTGAAGAGATCTTAAAAATACACAAATTGAGTATTTCCTCATGATTTTAAATATGCACATGTATTTCAATAACCTTGCTGCAAGTATATGTCATTAAACAATTAAACTTACCTGTTATAACCAGCATGTCCATAGGCTGAAGATCCTCCGTAACTAGAAGAATCACCATAAGATGTGTTACCACCATAGCTGGCACCACCATCATAAGTAGAGGCTCCACCATAACCTGTAGTGTTACTATAGTTGGGTGTAGCCCCATAACTGGAAGTACTGTTATAACCTGAAGTATTGGCACCTACACCATAATTGCCCAGGATGCTACTGGTATTGCCTCTACTACCAGCACCACCGCTGCTGCCGCCGCCGCCACTGCCACTACCTCCTGCTCCATAACCTCCGCCTCTGTATCTTGGTGTACTGTAACTGCTACCATGCCCATAATCAATCATCTCCCTTGTTCTCTGCATGCCTCCAGATCTATAAGAAAAACCATCCTTCGTACATATTACAATATAATGGAGTATAAAATATTTTACAATTACTGTATAATGATTCAAGCTTCCTATTATCTTGTGTAATTAAAGTGGTTCCAGTAACACATCAAAATTAAAAGTCAAGTGAAAGCAGATGCCAAAATTTTAGCACAAACAATACACCTCCAGAAAACTAAAATAAATAAATGATTGTAGTAGTAGTAACAGTAGAAACAGTAATAGTATTAAGAGTAGTAACAGTAATAGTAATAATAAATAACAGTAATAGTAATAATAGTAGCAGATGATTAATAATAATAAAAAATTTCTACATGATGCAATACACAGTTTTTATTTTTTTAACTCTGAATGACATTGAATAATACACATGAAAGTCACCAGTCATGGAGAGCACTTGGGCAAGCTTAAACCTAACATAAGACTAATACAACACGAGAACATAAACATTTTTACATACATTATGCACATATAAAGAGGTATAGTGCATAGAGTAAAAACAAATCTAATTAACAAATATATGGATATCAAATTGGGGAGGAGGAGTATGGAAGAAGTGAATGTTTTCAGATACTTGGGAGTTGACGTGTCGGCGGATGGATTTATGAAGGATGAGGTTAATCATAGAATTGATGAGGGAAAAAAAGTGAGTGGTGCATTGAGGTATATGTGGAGTCAAAAAACTTTATCTATGAAAGTATAGTAGTACCAACACTCTTATATGGGTGTGAAACTTGGGTGGTAAATGCAGCAGCGAGGAGACGGTTGGAGGCAGTGGAGATGTCCTGTTTAAGGGCAATGTGTGGTGTAAATATTATGCAGAAAATTCGGAGTGTAGAAATTAGGAGAAGGTGTGGAGTTAATAAAAGTATTAGTCAGAGGGCAGAAGAGGGGTTGTTGAGGTGGTTTGGTCATTTAGAGAGAATGGATCAAATTATAATGACATGGAGAGCATTTAAATCTGTATGAGAAGGAAGGCGGGGTAGGGGTTATCCTCGAAAAGGTTAGAAGGAAGGGGTAAGGGAGGTTTTGTGAGCGAGGGGCTTGGACTTCTAGCAGGTGTGCATGAGCGTGTTCGATAGGAGTGAATGGAGATGAATGGTACTTGGGACTTGATCTGTTGGAGTGTGAGCAGGGTATTATTTAGTGAAGGGATTCAGGGAAACCGGTTATTTTTATATAGCCGGACTTGAGTCCTGGAACTGGGAAGTACAATGCCTGCACTCTAAAGGAGGGGTTTTGGGATATTAGCAGTTTGGAGGGATATGTTGTTTATCTTTATACGTATATGCTTCTAAACTGTTTTGTTCTGAGCACCTCTGCAAAAACAGTGATTGTGTGAGAGTGAGGTGAAAGTGTTGAATGATGAAAGTATTTTCTTTTTGGGGATTTTTTCTTTCTTTTTGGGTCACCCTGCCTCGGTGGGAGGCGGCCGACTTGAAAAAACAAAAATGTACATGAAAAATTAAGTGTAGCAATGTACATGACAAGAAATATTTTTATAAAGGTGCATTAGACTGCGCCTTAAACTGTTTTCATATAAAAGCTCTTATAAGAGTTGGTTAACTTTTGTTCCCTACATTCCAGAAAATTACTAGCAAATTATGCTTTAGCCTCTTACTCCAAAACTGACTAAAATTTATTTTCCAAACACACAAAATGGTACAGTAACTAAATATTTTTATGCAAATGTACCTTTATCAATTTCATACCTTTCTCTTCTAGATCCTGCACCAAAACTACTATTGTATGAATCCATGTGATAGCGTTCCGGCATCCTGAAAGAAAATATCTCTTATTAAATCTTGACGAATTATAATTATGACTCAATAATAATGCAATAAGTAGGAGACAGAATCAATACACGAGATTTACTTCATACAAAGTTTCAAATTACTGGAATCCCTTTCACAGCATTAGCTACATGTTGTATTCCCACCTGAAGAGCACTCACTTTCAGTGCACTTTCTTCGTACTATGATCCCAAAAGAGCAACCAAATATTTTTTTTTTTTAAAGCACAAAAGGCTAGTCAAAAAGTGCAATAGGGAAAAACTCTTATTTTCATATCCAACAAACCACAGCCAAACTGATCAGGTATCGACTTTGTATGGTCCACACAAACAAAACAGTGGTGTACCATTGTAATCATGGCACTGCTATGAGGTGATATTCAAAGTGGTCCAGGACCACAAACTAAGGTGAAAAAAAAGACAAATAAGGTACCCTTGTGTTCACTGTGGCAAAGGTGTTGGCAACAGCAGTCATAAAGTTAACTAGGACCTATGTGAGAAATGGATGCACATGAGGTACACACACAGTAATGCTGATAATGAATACAATCAACTAGTAGCCATGAGTGATAACCTTAACTTTATTTGCAAGGCAATCTTAGTAATGTGAGAGGCTACAGTTGGTGGTGTTTCCAGACCGAACAACATTAAACACAGCTGTAAATAATACACCAATGTAGCTAAGCTGTACTAAGGGTCAGAGTATTTGTGAATTGTGCTTAGGTAAGGTGGTGGAGTATGTGGTTATGCAAGAAATGACTTAGCTTACAACCCAAGACTATTTGTATGACAAACTGGAGATTCCACGATTCAAAGTGCTGCTGCCCAAGACTAAACCCATACTAGTAGGAACTCCTTACTGCCCTCCCACCCATGATCAGTTCTTAAATTGAGAACAATTTTGAGACAATAATACTGGTTAATTCCAACATGTTAACAACAAAATAATGGGTTAAATAACAGGTAGAGACAAATTCTAGGATTAAATAGTACTAATTAATGCACCAACCTCATCACCTGGTTCTCAGCCACAACACACAACCATAAATTTGGAAACAATTGAAAACATTAGTCAGTCAGGCACCATGACCACCAGCCTTAGTGATCACTTCATCACTTATTCCACAAAGAAAATTATTAAGGAACAGACAGGCATGAACAAAAAAATTTAAAATGAGATCAATTAGAAGTGAGTAACGAAACACTGCAATAAGTTGCATGGAGGTAAATAATTCCTGGGAAAAATTTAGAACCATGTTCATTTCCATCCTTGATACTGCATCAGTTAACCCTTTCAGGGTCGCCAGGCCCTCTCCGAGACTTGCTCTCAGGGTCCCCCAAATTTAAAAAAAAAAAAAAAAAAAAAATTATAAAAAGATAGTCTTTTCCTGATCATAATGGCACCAAAAGTATGAAATTTGATGGAAAACTTACGGAATTATGCTCATGCGAATTTAGCGGTCTCAATGATGACGCATCGGCGATTTTGCCCACTTTGAGCCCTATTTTCGGCTCATTCCAGTGTACTGGTCGACAAAAATCATAACTTTTTCGCTAGAACTCCATTTTTTCTATAGAACGAGTACAAGAAACCACCCATTTACCGATTTCAACTATCCAATAAAGTGGTCAGAATTTAGCAATTTTGCCAATTTCACACAAACTTCAAAAGATGCCAATTTCTGAATAGGGTCCAGAATAAACAAGACATTCCTGGCACTAAAATAACAAGTTCTGTTCGTTAGTCACATCCCCAGGCCCCTCTTTATATTTCTTTGGCTTTCCACTTTGAATTTTTATTCTTACAAAAAATAGAAGATTTACTGTTATGCAGATTACTGCATTAGTGTAGAAATGGTATAAATAATATCAGCACACTTGTCAAAGAATATTAGACTCGCCAGTTTATGTGTATTGGACACTTGGCATGATTTGTTTACTTTTGAACTTTGGTAAAAATCAAACATTTCTGCTACTTTGAGCTCAATTTCAAAGTACTTTTCATTGTAAAACCAGTCAAAATCATCTCGATTTCTGTAATATGTCTTCCATTCTATAAAATGAGACCAGGAAAACTAGAATACAACCATAAATACCATACGAAAATGCAGAGCAAAGTCACTGTTTTAATCCAAAAACACGGTCTTTTTTTTTTTTCTCTCGTTACGCAGGATTTTTTTTATACTGCGCACACTGACCACATAGACCCATTCTTTCATATGTAGGCCTACCAGCTTTCTCTCACTAGATTTGAGGGCACTAGAATTTAGGCGTACTAGTACGTCAAAAACCCTGGGGCGTAAGCCGTACTAGTACGGCCGAAACCCTGAAAGGGTTAAACCTTCGACTGTCACAAGCCCTTTTCTGAAACTGCCATTCTATGTCGCAAAATTTTTTGGGAAAAAAAAAATTATTATGAAATGAGAGAGAATTTTTTCCCGATGCTAATGACACCAAAAGTACGAAATTTGATCAAAAACTTACGGAAGTACACTCCCGCGAAGTTAGCGATCTCAGCGATATATACGCATCAGCGATTTCACCAACTGAGCCCAATTTTCAGCCAATTCCATTGTTCCAGTCAACCAAACTCATAGCTATATACCAAATTTCTGGGAAATAAACAACTGTTTGTGCTGTACACAGTGCTTATCCTAAACCTTACAGTATAAAATACAGTACTAACAGCATAAGAAGTAAAGTAAAACATGAAATACCAAAATAAAACAATAAAATAAAGTCATTACAAAAATGCGATGTTGATATTCAGTAGTAAAGTTCGACTTGCGTCCATTTTGACTTACGACCAGTTTCTCGGAACCAAACTCGGTCGTAAGTCGGATGGTACCTGTATATATATAAAATAAAACTACACAAGCCTTAAGTAGAATATTTTCTAAGTTTTGCCTGAGATGCTATGCATTTTATGGGCCTCCAAATTATTGTATGCCCTGTGTAGTAATAGTGAAGTATGGATTTGTATTTGCAATTTTTAACATACAGTATATAATGACCACTAGAAACATTATAGTACTACATAATTTCTTAAAAAAAAAAAAGTCATAAACAAAGGTGTTACTGTCAAAGATTGTGAACCATAGCATTCTTGTAAACCAACTCAATCATTCAGTAGCTGAGAGATCATTTCGAGGCTGCCTGACATGCTCTGCAAAACCAGGGGCTTTCTATAAGTATACCAATAACATCAAAAAATCCTATAGCAATTGTATAATGTACTTTATAGAGATGATGACTGAAGATGATTAATTTCTGATAATGATGAAAATGATAATGACAATGATGATAATGAATGATGACAACCAGAGTTTACCTGGAAGGAGCTCCACAAGTCAACACCCTTGTAGCCCAGTTCATGATCAGGCCTCACAGTGGATCAGGGCCTGATTGACCAGGCTGTTACTTTTGGTCACACACAATCCAATGTACAAACCACAGCCTGGTTACTCAGGCACTGATTTTAGTTATCTGCCTAGTTCCATCTTGAAGACAGATAGGGTCTCTTGGTAATCCCCTTATGTATGATGGGAGGCTGCTGAACATCCTTGGGCCCCTGACACTTAGTGTGTTTCTCTCAGTGTACTCACGCAACCCATGCTTTTCGCTGGGACTATGTTGCACTGTATGCCGACTTATGCTTTCATAGCGAGCGATTTCTGTGCACGCAGATTTGGGACCAGTCCCTCTAGGATTTTTCACTGTAAATTATGATGTACCTTTCTCACTTGCACTCCCAGGAGTGCAGGTAAAGAGACTTCAAATATTCCCAGTAACTGAGATGCTGTACTGACCATGCACATGCAGTGAAGGTCCTTTGTACATTCTCCAGATTTCCAATTTTGCCTGCCTTGAGAGGGGCTGTTACCATACAACATTATTCCAGCCTAGCTAGAACAAGTGACAAAGGATCATCACTGGCTTGGCATTCCTTGTGGCAAAAGCTCTCGCTTCACACGGCAAGGGCCTGGGTTCGATTCCCAGCCAGAGTAGAAACATTGGGCGCGTTTCTTTACATCTCTTGTCTATGTTCCCCATCAGTAAAATGGGTACCTGGGTGTTAGTAGACTGGTGTGGGTCGCATCCTGGGACAATGACCTAATTTGCCCGAAATGCTGAGCATAACAAGGGGCTTTCTATATAGTAGTATGTCATTGATGTCAAGCTAGGCCTGTATACCATGTACATGTACTTGTAGTAAAATAAAGATGATATCATTTTCTTCGCAATTGTGGTCCTTGAAGGTGTGATCCTTTAACATAAGAAAGGAGGAATACTGCAACAGGCCTACTGGCCCATACTGGGCATGTCCTTCTCAAATCCAACAAACAAATATTTGCCCAAACAAAAATATTTGCCCACTCCGAAGTCCTTCATATTAGTTTTTTTCACTCTGTCATTAGAAATAGTCTTATATACTAGTCTAGGTTAAAAGTCAAATGGAGTAGCTGGAATTTGTCCTCATTGAACATCATATTGTTTTCTGCCTTGTGGAACAGAGCTTATTCACTGTGACAGCCTCTGACATAACTCCATTTGCTATTAATCTGTGTTCTCTTGGACAAAGTCAAGAATCCATCTGCTCACTTTCCCAGTTATTTCCTTAGTATGCATTTTTGTGTGCTATTGCACCATGATCACACTTGTCAAAGGCTTTAGCAAAGGCTGTGTATAAATCTGCAACAGTTGCTGCTGCTACAGCTGGTCTCGATGTTGCTGCAGCGGTTATTGCTACTGCAACAATTGCTGCAGTATTAGTTAGTGGTAGTGGTGTCAGTATTTTGGGTGGCCAGTCGGATTTATATGTAATTCATACCTGTTTACTGGCGTTGTTGATATCTATAACTCTCTATCCATCCATCTCCGTCCATCCATCTCCGTCCATCCATCTCTGTCCATCCATCTCCGTCCATCCATCTCCGTCCATCCATCTCCGTCCATCCATCTCCGTCCATCCATCTCCGTCCATCC